GGTACCTATCTCTAGTAGTAGTAATAGTAGTAAAAGTAATAGTAATAATAATAAGGTATATTATTAATTACTTATAAACTAATTATAAATTTATTAATAATTTATTATTAGAAATTTAATGTCCTATATTATACTAATAAGGTATATAATAATATAAAAATATATAAAAATATAAATATATTACCTAATATTACCTATATAGTTTATAAGTCTATTAGTATTAATAAATAATTTAAAATTAGTTATAAGTTTATTACTAATTAATTATAACCTACCCTCTATATATATATAATATATATATTATTTAGGCTAAATATAAAAAAGAAACTACTTCCTAAGTAGTTATAAAATAATTATTAACTAGTTATATAATAAGAGATTATATATTAGTAGTAGGTAATAATAAAAAATAAAAATTATTTTATAATTAGTTTAGAATTTATTATTAAAGATAAATATATTAGATTTAACCTATATATAATTAATTTATAACTAATTTATAAAATAATAAAGATACTTTAATATATATTATAAGTGATTAATAACTTATTTATACCTAATATTTTTTATAATATTAGATAAAAAAAGACTACTTTACTATATAAGTACTCTATACTAATTCTTAAAGTAAGGGGCACCTTAGCTAAGGGTGCCCTCCCTCAGCTTAACTGGCTGAGGTACCCTTAGTTGAGGTGCATCCACGTTATACTCATTGAGTTATTAGCCAAAAAGCCACCATAAAGGATATCCAGATCTCTCCACTGTTCGGCTGGCCAATCACAGCCCGCAACATCTACACGTGCGTCCCTGTTAGGCAATGGGCTGATGGTCCGATTTAACACCACCACTTCTTACCAAAACATACTGCCAGCTCAATACGTAGCACGCAGCATGCAGAATTCATGGCATATCCCACGAGTCTCTCTGCTCCATTCGTCTGAGTATGCTCGAGGTGGCAATGGGCAGTTGCAGATCACCCGCTGTCAAAAGTAGTCGGAGCGTATCGCGCGGCTACCAATGGGTGCGCCCGTCTCAGATGCAACATCCAATTCCACACATCAAAACTCATATATCATCGACAAAATCACCGACAAAATCATCAACATCATCCACAATCGAGGGCCCTCGCACGTTTTCCACACAAGAAAGTGCACACTCCAACTCGTTGCCGCGAAACGCCCCGAGTCGACTCGCGCGTCTTGGCGCGCGTCTTGGCGCGCGTCTTGGCACACCAACAAGTTCGGCCATTTCTCGTCCAAGTCTCGCCTCGACAGTTGCGTCGAGACTTTCTGTGGTCCGTCTCGGTGACCCGAATCCGGTCCCTTATCAGTCTTTTCGCACACTGTTTCGCTCGACCCCACGTGGCCACAATCGCCCATGATAATTGCATTGTTTGTAACTGCGCTTCCCTACTGGGTAAACCGCATCTTCTAGCAAGCCCACACTCTGCCCACATCAACCCCAGTACTTACACACTGTCCTTGACCAACACCACCGCCTAAAATATCGATGGAAATATGCTCGCCATGATATTTACGCAGAACTAGCATCTACCTTTATCCTGACCGGCTGTAACGTAATTTTTTAGTATCTCATTCTTTCTTCTTTTTTCTTCCTTTCATTTTCTTTTTTCTTTCTGCCTTTGGTGAATGGGCTGTCTCAAAGACTTTGCGGCGGTGTCTTCCGCGCTTCGTGTTTTAAACTGGGCAGCCAAAACCGAGGCCAAGTCTTGATGATGATGCTCAACGACGGCCGTGCATGCCGGAACAAGTAGAAATCGCAAAAACTTGGCTAATTTCTGCAATATCAGGTTTTTTCAAGCCCAAGCCATTTTCAAGATTTGAGAATTTACCCTGTACTTGCTCTGTGCTCTTGCACTTGCTGGTGTCTACGTGGTGATCCGTGTCCAAAACTCCAAAACAGTGTGAATTGTGCACGAGTCGATTGTATCTAAAACAAATTTATGATTTCGATTCATTTCTCATTCAAGTATATCTTGCACGATTGCGAACAACCCGCCAATACAGTGACAAATGTGGCCCACACCGATAAAGCCGGCTTGGTCCGTTTGGCGTATCATGAGATTGTGTCAGTGTGCGCCACGGCAAGTGATGAATACTAGAGCGAGAGAATTAGGACTGAGTTTCCTGCTTCATATACATACAAGCTATCAAGTAGTTTCCTCTTATAAACATGGTGCACTGCCTTTCTAGAAGGCCGTCGCTCTCCTGTTCTGTTTGTTGGTCGACCTAAGAGTCGTCTCTTCAACGTCCATGTTTTGCTCCCCCCAAAACTAGAGCGACTCAACTCCAACCTCGTGCAGTTTATATCTCTCTACTGTTGTATGCCACTGAATGTATCCCGCGATGTATAGCAACCATGATCGTTCGTAAATGCCTTTTCCCTTGAGCACAGCCCTAATTCGACGTGTACAACCAATAACATCCTGGGCGGTTTTCTCGAGTGCGACGTACAGTCCACATTTAGCATAAGCCGCTTGTTTATGAATATATGTGTCCGTCTCGCCATTTGCGACCTCCTTGTAGAACCTAAGCACAAATTAATCAGCCATCGCGCGGGGAGTCTGCAGCTCCAAGAATTGCTCACGAGAGGACATCATTGACCAAGTCAAAGCAACGCGACATGTCTTCCATTGCTTCAATGGGGGTGTCGATATTGGGAAATTGGGATTTCGGATAGCCGAGCCAAGCATACGCTTCTCCGTCGCCATCTCTAGCCCGCATGTACCAGCAGAAGCCGTCGCCGCCTCTCGAGGGATGCACAAGCTTCCTTTGGATACCTTGGCGGTCCGCGATTGCAATGGCAGTAACGAAGTTTAGGGACGAGCTGACGATGAGGTTTGCAACAAGCGGGTGGTATAGCTTGTAAGTCAAACGTAATTGATCGGCAAAAGCTCGCAAGATAATCTAGGGCAACCATGTTAGAAGAAATAAACATTACATCAAGCATGAGATTGGATCGTAGGACAAGGGGAAAGTTGACCGTCACTGATGCGGCCGGTGGCATTCGCGCTCGCAGATGTGGGGTCAATGCGAAATGCAGACGCTCATAAACAACGAGCCGTCTGATATATTCTACGTACCGTGGGCTGTTCCTTTCCTTCCAACCAAAGCTGCTGGAAACTCTCAAGTGCAGGTACGGTGCCAGCTTCTGGTGCGTCGTCACACAGAATAGCCAACCATGTGTAAATGGCCACAAAGACCTTGACTTCAAGGTCATGAAACGGCAAGCAATTCTTTGGCAAATATTAGCAGAAAAATCTAGATATCGTCTATCATGGGAGGAAAGTTGCATTTACATCAGCGTATGAAGTACCCAGCATCAGCACTCCGTAAGAACGAGATTTTGGGTGGTGTGGTACTCCCGTCGTCGCGGCAAACTCGAGGACGGCTTTCATGAGCACATCGCTCTCAAATGTCTCGGGCTGTACTGGCAGATCAAGATCTGCCAAAAATTTGGCGTAAAAAGGTCTAAGAGTACCAGTCAGGTCAGAGATTGCTCCGTCTGGTGCTTGCACCGGCTGCGACACATCTCCCTCCAGTGAAGGACTCATTGCTGCTCTGTGTATTGAAGTTAATTGGCAAAGTCTTGTCTTTGGAATGCGTTGTAGATGGAAACGATAGAATTCTAGTTGGCACAGGTCCAGATGAGTTTTATATGCTGTCAGTCAAAGTGCTCATAAATTATTTTTGCCACCGTAAAGTATGCGACAGCCCTTTGATTGTGTGCTTCATGAAGAACGGGCTGAGCTGAAGCGCATGCCAAGTATATGTGCGACTCGCAATGGCCACCCTCCCAGACTGTAGAACGGCATCAAATTTGCGCCGCTGTGGCAACTTTTGTACTACCCTGCTCAATATTCTTACGTCAGAATATGGGTAGCCGGCCGATATCAGCTCTATATGAGGGACAATTATGATCATTCGGACTGTTACAGTGGGACATATAGAATGCATTCCATTGTCCGCTCAAGGGCAGAGCGCGGCAACTTTGCGCTCTAGGCTTTGTGGAACCTGCTGAACTTGAGGCATCTGCATGCAGGAAGACGGTAAGAGGAGTAGAGGCGGGGTCAACAGGCGAGGTGCTTCGGACGCTGTGTCTTTTCTCTATATCCATCGCATCCTTCATTTCATCTAATGCATGTGTATGCGTGACCCTAAGAAATAAGCAGTGAATTAGTGAGAATGATGCCCAAGTAACGTAGAGACACAAACTCGCAGCCCTTTTCGTAGGCAAAGCCTTGTAGGGAATTTCTTTCGGGTCAAAGCCCACAAGTGATGGGACTCGAAAGGAATGATAGATAAAATATGTGTAATCAATAGCAAATCGATGGGCAGCGTAGAAGCCATGTCTTTCGGTGTTCTCTCAAGCAATCGCTGCTATCATACGAAATAAAAAATACAGGTCGTTATTCTGCTTTCCCGAATGAGAAATGTCTAGAAAACTGTGAATGGCTACATCAATTGACGCTCTCTACAAATGATCCGATTTTCTGCGATCCCTTCTCCGGCAGGTCAACGATAGCATCGGCCACGACCAATCCCTAAAACATCACACTCGCGAAAATTTTGCCGGGCAAGAGCACTTGAAGGTCTTACCGGCGGCTCAAGATGAGTAATGAGGCGCTCAAGCTTGTCATAGCCGCTCGGGTAGATCCCTGGGTGCTGCTGCACGGCTGAGGATCGACAATAATGAGAAGCCCCACGTCAATAGTGATGGCAAAGATTTGAATGACGTGCAAAGCTGCACGCCTAAATTCTGGGGTAGCGCATGTATCTGTTTACCTTTGTGATGTAGACTTTGACCATTTTCTTGCCTTTTAACGTCCAGGCTCATGAGCCTCAAAGATGGATGGGGAAAGCATCTGCAACGATGTGGCCATCATGCATTGCTCGGTGCAATATACGGAGCCTATCGGCGTGCCAATGCACAGCTTTGATCCGGGATTTTTAATGTACGATGAAAGTAGTAGTCCCAGCTCTTGACTTGGGAACCAAAGTTGTAGCATATCTATGTCTGTAAAATACTTGCATAAAGTCGTTGATTTTTGCAAGCCATTTTTCTCTTGCTTTTACCGTAGTCGACCATCAACTGAACTTTGAAGGAGGCGTTCAACTAGCTTCATCCGCCGGGCTGCTTGCCTGACGCTCGCTTTGACCAGACTATCGACGAGACCTCTGTTGGAGACCTCTGTTAGAGACCTCTGCTAGAGAACTCTGCTAGAGACCTCTGTTCATGATCAATTCAACCGTCAACAGGATCGCTGGCCACACACACACAACTACTGTACTAGATGCAGATGGGAGTGATGAATGGAGTGTTGATTCTTGCAACTAGGTAGGACCTATAAACCCTGTTATGGGAGAGACGAAAAGCGGGAGACGGAAAAGCGACAGGCTACAAGTGAAATGAGAGAGCAGGTAGGTGCTCAGGCTAAGATGGCATCAAGTGATTGAACAGGGGAGATCGATTCCGGGGTCAATCAACTTCTGCCGATTCAATTTTTTTTTTTTTTTGATAAGATTCAAAAACAATGTATAGCCTAGTCACCTCAGCTAACCCATATAGCTCCTTATCCATTCACGATGGTAAGCTACACTGGCGTAAACATCAGGGTATCCATCTCCACAGCCCCTACCCCATGAATACACTCCCACCAACGTGATGCGCTCGTCAGTAAGTGGCCCACCAGAATCTCCACGACACATTCCCCCCTTGTTTGCGCTCGTTGTGCAAATCTGACTAACAGTAACACCCATTTTTTCCTGGCAAATTTTGTGATCCAAGCTCTGTAGAGAGATCCATTGAAGAGTGTTGGATACTGGCCCGGAACTGCGACTAACTCCCCACCCAGAACCGAGAGTGCCCGACCCAGCAGGCGGATCTTGTGTTGCAAGAGCAATGGGTCGGATATAGGGGGTATATGATAGGGGTTTTGCAAGTTTCAGAACGGCAATGTCGTTGGTTATTGTCGAGGAATTATAGCCGGGATGCTTATGAATCGCCGACACCTGGTACGTAGTTCCTCCAGAGTCGAGTTTTACCGCACCAGCGACGATACTAACCCGGTCTGCGCTTAGACCGACAATGCAGTGGGCAGCGGTCAGAATCGAAGACTGATCAATGATGATTCCTCCGCAGTTATGTCGACCACGGTTTCGCAGGCTAACGGTATATGGAAACCAACCCAACTCAGCGTCTTGTCCACCAGCAATTGCGGTTACTGGCAGAGCAGTCAGAAAAGCCATGAGACATGCCAAAAAGGCAAGTCGGTGGAGTTGCAGGGAGACCATCTCGTGAGAAGTATGATGGTTGGATGTATGTTACTAGTAAAGGGAGGGGGCGGGCTTAACTCGAATGGTAGAGGAGCAAGAAGTTGTCTACACGGAGACATGAGTTCCTTTTATAGTTTGCTAGTGCAATTTTCTCATTTTGGTTTGGAAATTATTCTAGAGCCGAGCGGCACACTGGCCATTGCCAACATCGCAATTCCCAAGGGCAAAGTTTCATAGAGTACCGGCGCACTAAAGACATGACTGGTAGTAGTACCAGATCAGCGACCGTGGCGTTGCTGGGCCTAGACATGCAGGTGCATCTTCCGTGGAAGCACGTCTCGGACAGACAACGTCTGAGGTGAATCATCCTCACCCACTGCTATCAAACGTCGGTGAGCCACCGATTTTGTCACCCAAGTGCGGGCTTTCTTCAGGAGAGAGCTCTGGGTTTTTTTTTGTGTTTTGCTCACGGGTGCTGTACTCAAATAAGATGTGCCTGGTGTCGAGTACACTCTAGTCAAGTTTCCTTCGCTCACTTGTATGATATCAATAGTCAAGAAGGAAGTGCCAGCTACCGGATGAGGGGTGGCCACCTTTGCCCCAACAGCAGCTAGACATGCCTCTGTGGATATGCGTGTCTAAGAGCGCCAAAGGCGCAAAAGTCTCCTTGTCCGCCAGCCTCTTTATCAAGAAGTCTGTCAACTGACTGAATCATTTGGGCCAAAAAGGGTGAGCAGATAACCATTTCAGCCCTCTCCCGCTCAGTAATCTGTCGGGGGAGCGTTGGGCAAAACAGGTATTTATACATCAGCAGGCCGAAGGGGTTTTCTACCCTGAAGTACGAGTACGTACTGGTAGACAAAGCAGTTTTGCTGTCTTGAAAGTAGGAGCTGAAATGCAGAGTAACACGTCTTGGAGAGCACAGATGACTTGTGAAAAGGCGAAACTTTGATCACATTTCAATGGAACCTAATCCGTACCAGTTCACTAGTGTCATTTCATGACTGACTGTCCAATAATAGCCAACTGCCTCTTTGTAATGGGCAGGGAAGAAAGATGGAGAAACGAGGAGAGCAATGGGAAAAATTGACACGGGGAGGGGTAAATGCAGATGTATGGATACGAGGCCAAAAGTCATGGCAGTCAATATCGCACAGTAGATCAAGACATCGCACAGTATATTGACGCACCCAGCTCTCGATATTGACAGGAGACGACGCATCAGTTGGCTCGAAATGAGGTCATCGTAAAAGGGCGAAATGGTGCAAGTGCCAGATACACACGGGCATATTTTATCGAGTACCGGTACGGTTATCTTGTTTTGTAATAACTTTCATTACCATCACGACCAAGCCTTCCGCATCATCACCGGACACCCGCCGCCGCCGTGGATGCCGCGCTGCTCCATCGAGCCCGGGGACACGTGAGTTCTTCAGAGGAGCAACAAAGATGGAGAGTGGGGCGTGGCACGGGTAGTTGATCAGGCTCCCCGTTTGCCCTCCCCCCCAAGCCATGTTGCACCTTCCAACACCAACGTACTAGTAGCAATAGCCTGGTTTTCTGTCTTATCGCGTCGTCCGACTTTGCCATTCTCCTTTGGCCATTCGGCAGTCCGCTACTTTGCGCTGCGTGCACAACGGTTACCCTCGCGCTGAATTCTTTGTGTCGAACCTCGTCGTCAAATCCTCCCGTCAAAACCGTTCTTTCAAAGCCTCCCATTGGATCTTCCTTTCGAACCTTGCTGTCGAGCTCTTTGCATTCAATCTTCAAGTCCAACTATCATCTGAGAGTTCCTTTGTAAAGGATGTCTCAAACTGAGTACACGATTCGTTATCCTTGCGGCTTGAACGGCCGAGACATCGTGGGTGCAGGCATCACCGCAATTGTTGCTCGTTTGGATGCTGTTGTCAAATTCAGCCAGCCATCCGAACGACATTTTCTAGAAAGAGAGAGGCGTATATATGAGCGCCTTGGGCACGAACATAGTGGTATCCTTCGATTCTTTGGATCCCTGGATGATGCGCTTATTCTCCAGTATGCTAGGTATGGTTCTATACGACAGTACTTTGCAGGACAGACCAAGCTAGTCTCGCTTCCTATAAAGCTTCGCTGGATTGAACAGATCACGACGACAATGTCCTTTATTCATTCAAAGAATGTGTTGCATGGAGACATTTCATGCAATAACGTGTTTCTTGATGAATCGCTCAACATCAAAATCGGCGACTTTGCTGGATCTGCTATTGACGATGAGGATCCTCTCATATGCTACGAAACCAGTCACGAACACCCCGATATTGAATGCATCTCAAAGAAAAGTGAGCTATTTGCTCTTGGATCTACGTTCTATGAGATCATGACGGGATCTAAGCCGTTCAAGGACCTTGCGGATGAAGAAGTATGCAGCGCCTACAGTGAAGGGAGATATCCGGAACTAAACGACTTACATGCATGTAACAACATTATATATACGTGCTGGACCCAGGGCTATGCAAGTGTGGATGAACTACTTGTAGATGTCAAGGCTGAAGGCATGTGTATTTCTCACTTAGTTCGTGACATCTAGCTGGTTGCCTCCAAGTCCAGACGGACGACGCCAATCGGCGCGCCAACGATTGCCATAGCATTTGCATTTATAGCCCTTCCCTTTATACTTTGGTCCAAAAGTCGGAGATGAAATGTTTCCCCCAGATTTATTTTGCAATGAGCGGGCATTTGATTATTCAAGTCTTAGCCTTACATCTATCTATGTTGGGGGCGGCGGCGGACATTGTGGAGGTTTCCAGCCAGCTACATTGTGATGTAGATGAGTGTGTATGTATTGTGGAAGATGTGGGTGCCCACTAAGGGTGCCTATGGTGCCTATGTGGGTGCCTGACAATATGCCGCTCTCGCAAGAGGTGGCGTCCTCGTCACCAATTATCCTTCCAAATACGCCAAAATTGCGTTCCAAGATATGCCTCCTTTGATGTAACTATGCCATAGTCCTCCTTGCCGCTCTCGCAAATAAAACGCTCGTAACTCCCTGCTTCTGTGCTTGTAGGCGTGCCGAATGTCTCGACGGGCTGGTGTAGTCATGTAATAGGCTTGCCATCATGAGTACTGGTGCAATTACTTGCTAGTGCGTACGAACTCCATAGACAGGTGCTTCTTGTGTTGTTACTCTTGATGAGGGTGTTGGCTGGCGATGGCGAGCAGCGATCAGGTTGACATTGTGTGTGTGGTGCCGAATGGCTCGACGGGCTGGTGCCGAATGACTCGACGGGCTGGTGCCGAATGACTCGACGGGCTGGTTCCGGTTTTGTCTTGCTCCGGCTCGCTGGTGGCCGTAGCTGAATTTTTCTTCTTGATGGAGCTCGCGATCTTTTGATGCAATTGCTACCAATTGTGATGTAGATGAGTGTGTATGTATTGTGGAAGATGTGGGTGCCCACTAAGGGTGCCTATGGTGCCTATGTGGGTGCCTGACATACAGGGTCACTGTAGCATCCCTGTACTTGTCCAATCGCACATTGCCAGCGGCCAGTCATTATTGCTTGGGCCGCCAAGGGGCCGCCAGAACACCGTTTGTTCTGTTTACCACCGCCACTTCATCATTAATAATACCATCTCGACCCAGGTGATTTGCAATTACATCCATCCATCCATCTCTTGTCCGTCACAATGCCCTGCTGCGTTCCCGGCGGCTGCCCTGCCGAAGCGGCCGCCAGCGAAAAGATTCGGCGCGCCACCCTCGAGGCCATGCAGCGCGAGAAGCTCTCGGAAACGCAGAATACCCTCGACCAATTCCATACTCTCCCAACCGTCGACAAGAGCAAATTAGACGACCTGTCGATATCCTATGGCCCTATGCTCGACGTCGATGACTGGTCTGTTACATCACCGACCGAGTACCAGTCAAAGTACTTCATACCCTTTGACTGGCCTCAGGACTGGCTCGAGTACATTTCTTGGTCTGTTGATTGGCAATGGGTAAAGATGGATCACCGGGACCTATACTCTAGCAGCCACTTGCAATTCCAGTACCTTCGGTCGAGGTGGTTCCGGGCACGCCTCTGTCAATTGGATGACCTAGATCCAGAAGTCTGGGACGTCTACACGTACGATTCCATTATTTCTTCGTCTTCTTGTTTCAAACTTCACTCAACTGCCATCCATACTGACTCGAAGCTACAGCGAAAGCATGGAAATGATGGACGCCGTCAATCTCCGTCTCCCCCGACGCGAGTTCAAACCAAAGGCACGCCCCGATGCCCACACATACTACGAATACGGAGGTCAGTGGGCATATCTGGCCAAAGCTGGCTCTGATAAGTCTCATGCCGCGTGTCTGATGCTAGACTCGGGCGGCAAAGACGCCGACGGCCTGCTGCTGCGCTCCGAGGTCGACGCCGCCATCTGTATGAGCCAATTTCAGCTCAGAGACGGCCGCTTCACCGACCACCACACGAAGCCCATCCTCGTCATAACCATACTCCGCGAGCAGGTGGCACGCCTCACCCAGGCCCACTTTGATGGTAAAAAGAATAGGCTCATCCTCCGCCAATCACGGCTTCTTGATCTATCAGGCGAGGATGCGGGTGATGACGCCTGGCTGCTGCTGCGCTGGATGGCCAGCACACCGGTGGGCCAGACAGAGTATCCAAAAGGCACAGAGTCTGTCGACGGCTATTGTGACGAGAAGACGAGCGTGGCACCCTCCATGAGAGTATCAGACTCATTTCGCTGCTGCTCCAGTTGAACCAGCCTGGCGCTAAATGGATTGCCGTGATATGCCAATTGTCCCTGGCTCCGGATCTTCAAGTTTGAAGGCATTGGTGATAGAGTGACCGTTTTCACTAATTTTCGAGTCGCCATGGCAGCTCTAACGGCCAGGGTCCCTCCCAACGCATCAACTCGTCATGCTCAGTCGCCATGATTGATCCTGCGGATCCCGTATCTGGAAAGAGCTCTGAAGATGATGCAACTCAGGTACTAGATCTGTGGAGGCTTTGTTAACGGCTTTCATTTGCATACGACAAGTGCTCGCTATTTCCTGTGCTCAAAGTAGCCTGTATTAAACGAGGTCATAGTGCGACTGGTGCTTGTCCAAGACCCTCCCCCCGTAGAAACTATCGCTGCGCAGGTACAACCCTTGTCCGCGACCACCACCCAAAGTTAGGCCTTAGGGCACTTGAACTGGAGATTTCAATATCTCCTGAGCCAACTCAGAGCTAGATCAAGTCTCGACGTTGACACTCGATTGAAAGATGTCAGTACTTGTTCTTGCTTTCTCACCGCGTATACAGGGTCACTGCCCCAATGCCTAATAGTAACGCCATCATTAATCTTGATTTAATTAGATCAACATTCGTAAAACTGAATCAGGTATAATCTCTGTCATTATTTCTCCGCCTCAAGCAGCCAGCAACTCCAAAACTCGTATAATATTTCTCTCGTCCCCAGATCTGAGCTGCACGTCCCTGTACCTCGGAGAGACACTGATAATCTCGTGCCAAAATGTCCACGGTTGGACAAAGCAACACCTATGATCTCTCTGGCTTATTGCTTTAAAGAGCACCTTCATATATCGACCATTATAAAACCACTTCTTGACGTCATTCACCCTATGCGATGCCTCGTGCCGCAGAATCTCGAGCATGTTGGCCGCGATGCCGGCCGCAATGGGCGTCGCGTACGAAACGCCCGAGGCATAGACGTACTGCGACTTGGTCGTCGCAAATTGCTCCTTGATGGGTATGTCGAGCCCCAAAGTCGCAAAGTAGTCTTCGCGACCAACACTTGCGTTTGTGCTCAGCGGCTGGCCATCGCCATCGGTGCAGTGAATCGCAATGATGCCAAGCTTTCTGCCTGGCCACGACGGCCCTTCGTGATGGCCGGCATTATTGTGTGCGGCGGCAAAGATAATTTTGGAGCCTGGGAGCAAGGCGTGCGACAGCGCTTCATCAATGTCGCGCGATTCTACCCTCATCGCTAGCGACAGATTGATAATGTCGGCATCCCAAACCTGAACGGCCCAATTGATTGCCTTGCGTACATTGTGCAACTCATCGTCTGAAACAGTCGACGAGTTGGTCACCTTTGCAATGTAAATTTCCGCCTGGGGGGCGGCTTCCAACAATATCTTGGCAACCGTTGTTCCATGGCCATGGTAGTCTTCGCAATCATCAACACTGGTTCCGCAAAAGTTGCGCAGCCCTGCGATTCTACGGTCACGTAGCCCGAGTCCAATATCTGAGTCGCGCAGCGCAATTCGGATTTCCGAGTCGCTTGAAGATATGCCACTGTCGATGACCGCTATACGAACCTTTCTGCTTCGATCCTCTGGCAATGGCGTTCTTGACTTGACAGAGAGTGGATTCACGTACGAGATTGCAAACTTTTGCATTCTTGACATGAACTCCTTTGCTCTTGCACTTTAAAATCTCGTTAGCTCTTGATTCTTCCTTCATTATTGTGGCCGGACAAAGATACATACCTCTTTGGTCCTGGTTCCCTCTTATGTGGCAGCGCTGTGAGTGGCTCGCGCTGCGTCTCGACGTCGGACAGATAATCTTCTTTTGGTTCCTCTGCGCCCGGGCAATCAGGCAACAATATCGATAGTGGCTTCAGAATGTGTTCCTCAAAAAAGGTCAAAAATTCGCGAGTGGTTTTCTTTTTCGCAGCAACCTTGCCCTCGTAACTAAGACACGCTTTGATGGCATCGACAAAGGGACTTTCGGAGTCGAGCAAGTCGGGGTGGTCTGTAATCAGTAGTCCCAATTGCCTTCGAATTCCTTCTTCCCATGATCGACCATGTGCTTCGCTGAAGACGTCTGGTTTTCTCCAGAATCTGACCTCGACTAGAATTTTGCCCAGTTCCAATAGATTCAAATCACACTTCAAGTCTGGACCCGCCTCAAGCTGTGGCAAAGGAGCTTCAATAGGACAGGAGAGATATGCTTCTGTTGGGTCATGTATGATGCCTGTCGTCGAGTCATGGTGAAGGAATACGTTTGCGTCAAAAGTCTTTCGCTTGCACCAGCGAAGTCGTCTCCAAGCCGCGCTGCTAAGACAATAGGCAGAAAGCGCCAAGTTATAGCAAAGACGATATCTATCCTTGACGGACACGGGTCTGGTGCGGTCCCTTTCTACTTGAGAAAGTTCAATGAGCTCAGCCAAGCTTCTCATTGTTCTCGTTCGAACGGGATTTCCGTAGCCCATGCTCAGCTGATACTCCCCAAGACCTTGCGGCACCCTTTGGTCCGTCTCGTGCCTGTTCACAGTCGGTCGTACTTGTCCTTGAGGGACAACAGAAATGCATACAGATCTGCAATCATGCTCTGCTTTGCGGATATGCTCGCAAAGCTTTGGCCTTTCTGTGGAGGTCGGGCTATGCCTATTTGCTCATTAGGCTCCAGAAAGGATCAACGACTGGTCATATCACCATAGATCTGGTCAAAAATATTGGCAACTCGATTACACAACAAGACCCCAGGTGAGGAATGGGACAAAGGAAACAGAATAGCAAAAGATGCCTACCGCGCGAAATTTCCGGTGCAGTACACCCATTCGTAATTGCCATCAAAATGGCGTGGGCTAATGAAGAACTTACAAATCTCCAAAGGGCGCCGGTTGAAACCACTCAGCCGCAGGCGGAGTAAATGGGGAGGCTTGCAGTTGCCTAGATATCTTTTCAAGGCCAAGACAAGTTTTTCCATTTTTTCATGAACGTGTTGCTGAGTGACAGATCTCAACTCGCTGGCTGTTTCAGCAAGATCACCAGCGTAGCCGACTGTTCCTTGAGCGATGTACGGATCATCGAGCCCCTCTGGGAGATCAATGACAGGCTCATCCCTCGGTGGTCGGCTGGCGGAGGTAAGGGTACCATTGGTACTGAGTATTTTCTCATGTTTGCTTTTGACGAGCCTTTTCAGGTCCTCACGGCACTTGTCTATCGTCTGCCTCTCCGAAGTCGTTGGTAGATTAAGCCCTCGAACTGTTTCCCAGTTTTTAGTAAAAGGAGGATATTCGACAAGTCGCAGCAGTCATTCGAGAGGAGGGGGGGGTAATTACATCGTTGCGCCCCAACCCCAGCACCGATCTCTGTTTGCTCTCCGTGGTCCGGCTCGATGAGCCTTCCAGTCGACATAGCATCCTGGGTCATTTTGCCGAGTGCTGCTATTGAAGTTGTTTGTAGAGGGTGAACAAGTTTGCTGTTATCGTGGCAGGTACTAGTCATTTAAGTGAAAGCCAACGTTTCTCGTAAGCAGAAGGACCGTCCAGCGTTATCAGTACAACCTTCCCCCCAGCCTTGCATGGCCTTCCTTTTTGCCGGCTGCAGTGTTGGCACAGCATACTGTCGCAGTTCTTGCTGGCCGTGTGGCTTTGTGGCTTGCAGAAACTCGTTTGTTACTATTGCATGTACACCCTGCCCAAATTTTGCGTCTTTTTGTTTCATGATGGTGATGAAGCATCTTTCCCCGCGTGAAGTTGTTCTGAGCATTATATTCGTTGTCGTTCTATTAGATGCATGAATGAGAGCGCATATTCTTTCATCCCGATCCGCTCTGCCCAGAAATATCCATGGAGCACTGCATCTGTAGGGGCCAAGCAAAGCCCGACTATTGTGTCAATCGCGGGGAAAATTGTCGATCAGGCTCTAGGTCCGTCACATGCTGTGTAACCCCAAGCTGAACTGCAAGTTGCAGCATAGTCCGTGGTCAATTGCCCCCTCAACCTCTCTCCACCTGAATAGATTGGCGATTCCGGGCGCGACAGCTCATTATCCATAGCGACTATAGCGTAGGTAAAAAGACCGAGTCCTCTCATGTTACACTTGCTTTGCCCACCAGACCTTGGCGATTCAGCCCTCGACAGGCCTTCAAATGGCTCCTCGAGTCAACGATTACCATATTTTGCCAACGATGATGCATAAGGGAGATTTATGCATTGGCCACCTGATCAGCAGTATCAAGGACTTGATAATCATCAACGATGGCGACGATGAAATTGTAACATTTGATGAGCATCGCATCAAAGCGTCGCACATGTTCAATGTGTCCATCACTGCGCAAGCGGCAAGCTCTGGGGGCGCTGGCTTTTTTGCAGACGCAGCCTCGGCCGTTTTTGGTGGCAAGATGCGTCTCAGCAGCAAGACTCAATCTTCAAATCGTTATTTCATTCCCGAAATGCATGGGCTGCAGATAACACTCGGAAAATCCGACTTTCTCAAAGCCGTCGAGTGTTCTGCAGCGGTACAGAAGCATTTGGCCCAATACGGCGGCTATCTGTACATGATCACCGGCTTGAGATTTTGCAACCAGAAATCTGTCATGGTTCGTCGTGATGGGGGACTCGAGATGCAAAACGAACTTGGTCTTGATTGCGGTCCGGTCACGGTTGGTCCGCGCATGCACTGGGCTCGTGGAAGCATCTCGAGCCAGGAAATGGCTGAAGTGGCAGATGTCATATTTGCAATCAAGGTCACGAAGCTCAAGTATAGGAGGAGATCTATCATTGTTGGGAAAGAGCATCTTGTTGCGAAAGGATATTATCACGGTGCAGAACTTGTGGGCGGTGGAAATGCTAAGCCTGCGCTGGAGAAAGCAGATGCTTTTGACGTGGACGTCGAGGAGGATTTCGATGGAGAAGATGTGGAAGGAAGCTGGAAAGTCGAGCCCGATGTAAATTGGATCGCGTCTGAGTAGTCGCTATGAGCTGTTGCGCGACACGTTGCGCGCCTCGTGTCACAACAATCCTGCTCATGCCAGTTGGCATCGCAGGGTAGTCGCGACTCATATCATACTATTTGAGCGTAATTTCATAGAATGATGCAAGCTTTGAATAGGTACAAGGATTATGCGAATATGCCATTGTTCAGTGGCCCTCGGGCAGTTCGGAAACGCGATGTGCTCACAAGGCCTCTGCGCATAAAGAGGCATGCATGACACGTGTTAATCAACGGAATAAGGTTGGATTAGGCCAGCAAGGAATACAAGCTGTGTAATTTTGTGCCAAGCAAGGTTGTATTGAAACATGCATATGCAGGTCTGCGTTGCCCTCCCGTCCTTGGCCAGGCTCCAGCACTTTGAGCATGTATCCGTACTGGTTGCTGGTATCGGTGACTGGCTGCGGCTACACAGGCACAGGCAACAGGTTGACAGGTTGACACGGGACAATGCTTGCTGATTCTCTTCCTCCAGTGAGGCTGTGCTCACCCGATCAGTCTGCCGTGGTGACGAGCAATTCGAGACAAGACACCGTGGTTGCGTGGCATACTGATTCTTCATCTGCTTAGATACGCCTGACAGCCATCAGCCTCGGCAAACGTGGGTGGCAGCCTGCAGGATACTCGTTCAGCTGCTAAATGTAGTAACTCTTAGACCTGGGCCGTCGTACAAAGATGACAGGCGCTCAGGTTGCCAGCTCAATTTCCGATTCTGTGACTGTCTCATGTCATGTGGCGGTGCCCGGATTTGATTGCACTGCATCCGGAATGCGGCACATGCAGTGGCTGCTGACTGATGCCTTTGTGTAACCTCACCGGGCGCTAAAACGAGAGCATCCCCCCGCCGTAGAAAGGTAGGGTAAGGTATTTTGTCGCATAGGTACTCTATACTGCGTAAATAGGTACCTATTGAGATCTTGTCGGCCACGCAAACACGCAAACACGCACCTTGCACCAAGCATCTTCTACAATCTCACGATGAGGGAAGACCCCCAGCGAGATCCCAACTCACTCTACTCAAGAGCAGAGTTTTGCGACAATTTACTCGTTGACATCGCCAGCCTGCCTCTCAAAGACAAGGACAGGCGTAGGAGCGAGACCGCACAGCTTAGGCTCTTGCAATGGGCCAAGTCGCTCAACGTGTGGGGTGACAAGGACGCAAATCTAGATTCACTGCTGGATCCATCCAAATGCAAAGTCCGTGGCCTAATAGAGGCCTATCTAGAGATTCTGAAGGAAACTTCGCTGCTTGGTAGAACAACATATCCCTGCTCACTCTCATACTACGCTGACCTGTGACTTTGGCAGTTTTGAAATCGGCAACACCACGGCTGCCCGACAATCATTTCGATATTGAATTTGCCGAGATTGAATTGTCCCTCACAGAGTTACAGACATTTGCAAACCTTTTGCTTTTTAACACCAAAGCAGGCTTCGGGCGGCGAGTCGCACAGTATCGAAGTAAGCATGACGACTACGACTTGAACAACGCCGTCACCACACACATCCAAGCTCAGTTTCCTCACCTGACGCCGGAAGCTACTCACGATGTTCTTGGCCGGTGGAATGAGCTAAAAACGAAATATTCCAACTTGGCCGAAGCTGGCTCCCAAAGAGCAAGTGCGCCATTTAGCAAACCCGCGGGGCTCTTGAAAGTCTTGGCGGATGCTGTTGTCTTCACTCACTACAAGACACTCTACAATGGAGACTACGAGCACAGGCGTATCAATGCAACCAATCTCAAAAACGCAGAATGGAGATTGCCCGTCGAAAGCACCGAGGTATCCGATTCGAAAACAGAGTATTCGCACATTTGCCCAGTTTGCGCCGAGGCCTGTTCCGAACTATCGTTGTCCCTAGGTCCAGAATTGTGAGCCGCCATCTACCTTTATCCTTATTACATGAGCTCATGACTGACCAAACAGTTGTCACTTTCTGCACACAACTAAACCATACGTCTGCTTGTCCAAAGAATGCGACCGAAATAACCCACCCTCTTTCGAGACTCAGCAACAGTGGGAAACTCATATGCAAAGTCAACACAGATCGGACTGGGTCTGCAATCTCAACAGAAACGTCAAATGGGTATGTCCGACTTGCGATGCTGTCTCACCGGTGGAATTTGAGTCTTTTGACTTGATGACCAAAGATTTGGTTATGCATCTGCATAGCTCTCACGGCGAGGAAATATCCAAGCAGACTTTCAGCTTGGCTCGGCTAAGTTATATGACCTGTCCTCGACCTTCCGATACTTGTCCTATATGCGGAAAACGCTATCTCTACCGCACAGCCAAGGCCGGTCGCCAAACAGCAAATACCGGATCCGCAACAGATGACACGCATACCAGAGTGCAGCAATGCATTCAAGAGCATATGGTTGCATTATCCTTCGAATTCACCCACCGCAGATTTCATACTACCGGCGCCCAGTCTCAGAGTAGGAGCGCTTCCCCTTCGTCGTCATCCTCTACGCCTTCCATGACCAGTGAGCTCACTTTATCGGTATACACAAATTCATCCACTAGTACGCACAATGATGAAGTTTTCTCGAGGTCATGTTTTAAGCCGTCTTTGTCCTCGATCGACAGCGAACATTCTCAGTCCCCAGACGTCAATGGCAACAGGCAATCCTTCGAGGACAGTGACGGCCACCTTTTGAGTAGGTTTTCTTCCTCCTTGAGGTCAAGTCAATCACCTCTCCACTCACTTCAACCCGCTCAACACTCGCGTCCGACTACTCAGCCCTCGCGCCAGCCAGCTCAGTCTCCGCATCAGCCATCTCAGCCCTCGCGTCAGCCAACTCAACCTTCGCGTCGTCATTATGCCTCGTCCCCTGAGCCTGGCGTTACATATGGCGCTTCCTCGTCCGGCCACTCCTGTGTACCGGGCTATCCGCCACCTGGGCGCCGTTAGGCAGGATATGGCGCATCTGCTGAACCTGAGCATCCACCTGGGCTACCGAACGACCACATCCAAAACTCGATCGGTAAAGGTGTTCGGGATCAACCATCGTTGCAGTTCAGTGGGCTACAGCAAAGCCGCATTCTCTTCAGTCGTCCTGCAATCATTCGATCTGCCTGCGGTTTCAACTTGTCGAAATCTGGTGGATTTCCGTTTCGCACCAAAGCAAATCATCTCCGGAGGGCATATTGGTGATGTATAATTTGTGGGTTTCATTTGTTTTTGTATTCTTAGAAGCAAGAAAGCTATTGAGACTACACCACTGTCTGCTCGGTTTCGCAACCGTCATGGATGATCGGTATCCCGATCGCTTTCGTGCGGATAGTGTCCAGCCGAAAGTCTGAAGATTGAGCCTCGGGAGGTAAAACTAGAAGCGGCGGATTTTCTTTCTTCATACTTATCTGAGTATCAAGACTGGCTTTTCATCTTTCGAGTCAAAAAAAGCAAAGAGTGTGCCTGGCATCTAGGCTGCGTTTCACCAGGCACCCTCCGATTATCTTTGGGCCTGGAGAGAATGCGCCGCAGGGCCGTTGTGCCCAATTCTTGCGACTTGTTCAAATGTAAGTCGAACGCCACATCACCATTCACATTATGGCTTCAGCCTGATGAACTTGCTGAGGTCCTTAGCACCGCCTGTAAGAGCGTAGTGTAAGTGGTTCACGCCGCTTGTGCAGTGACTTTCTGCCGTCAAGCTGTCAGTCTGCGGCACCGTTGTGTCATTTGGGGTTGAAAACGTAGTCGTAATTACATGGCAATTAGTGAGCCTCTCAGCCACCATCTAGGCTCGTCTCAACACGCTTCTCTCATTTTCGATATTCCGAATCCGCCGTCTACCACAACTTGTCAACAGCTTTCTCTTTCTTCTTATAAACCGACTCACACCAGCTCGTAGGTCAGCTGCTTTCTCCTTGCCAAAGGCTATTAAATGAGTGCGATAGTTCCGTGGAGAGGCTTGAGACCCGCCAGCACTGCAAAAGCAATATGCGAGGTTGTCATTGGCAATACTACATGTGCCACTCATAGAGAAATGTTTAATGGGCTTTCTTCTTCACAACTGAATCTATACTCGGATATTTTCATTCTATTAATTAATTGCAGAAGATTAGGTTCGTTATATACAGGGTCAGCACATCAGGGCGGATTAGATTGAAGCATCGTGGTGGCGGTTTTCTGATATCTGTTAATGAGCGGAATTTTGATGGGACGGGAGCTCGAGAATGCTCATCTTCTGACCAAAAGGGCAGAAATATGGTTTCTCGCAGAGTAAAAGGGCGGTGTATATGCCTCGCGTCCAGTCATGGATGTGCCCTGCCTGTGCCTGTTCCCAACAATCGCCTCACACCCCACAGCGAGCCTGATGTGCATTCACTGGGCATACTTTGTAGCTGCCCAACGCTCCATGTACTTTCTGCGATGGGACTGTAAGGGTGTCGCATCTTGGATGGAAACTTCCGCAGTGATATTGGCACGGCCTCCCCAGGATCGGCTGCAGGGCGATGCAACTTTTGGCACGGTAAGACAACACCTCCCATTTCCCCGCCGCCCTCTATTCCCTTGTTAGGGATTCGTAACATCCCCCCCGGATCAGGGTTCTTCTGTCGTCATTCCGAGATACAAGGCGCTCTGTGACACCTCGGTCGCGCCGGGGGCCCGCTGGGCGGCCTCGCTGTCCAACCTTGCCTGCGGATGGGGGGGAGCTTCCAGGCAACGGTGTAACGTGTCACTGCAGAGGTGTCAAATTGACAGCTGTCACTCATTATTCGGTGCACGCCTCGAATTGTTCGACGCTGGCTGTGTCACTACACACCTTGCTGTAATCTAGCTGTTCAGATGATGCAGCGTAACTGATCAGTAAGCCACCGTGACTTTGTAGTAAATGCTCCAAAGTGTTGCAGAGGCCCTTGTATCTAACGTCATACCTCCCTTGCATTCCATGTCATCCAGAAGTGCTTTCGCTGAGTTCAAATCCGAGACACCAAAGACGTGTTATTCGAGCCTGGTGACAAAATACAAGAAAAGGCATGTGAGCGACAAAGAAGCGTCACTACAGAAGAAAAAGGAAAAAGACTCAAAGATAACAGTAGCTTGGCACGCTGGGGAAAATTCGATTATTTTTCATAAGTTCATAGATTTGAATCTAGTCTTTTTGCTGACTTGTCGATTTGGTTGCTCTGCATCCACGCATCTTTCGGCTTTCATTCGTGCGACTCAAAGAACCGATTGTCCAGCTTACCCAACTCGGCTACTCCCAGAGAGGTTCACTATCAGGTTGATACTCTCACACTGAAGCAAAGATCCAGAAGCAGTGGGTGTTTTGTGAGACCAATCCTTTCATTCAGAGGTTTCTTGCGACTGTTGGTGGCATCGGGGGTTTCAACAGTCATGGCACAACGAGGGGTAGTACTCGAGACTTGCGCGTGTCAAGACCCCGCGTCCGGCTAGATTTCAGCTCCACGGTCACATTTCTCTTTCAAACGGATCGTGACCTTGTGCTTTATTCCTTTGCTGCTTCTTTTCTTCTCCCGCTGGCTACCATTCCATCACATAGGCGCCCACATCGTCCCCTTTCCCGTCGAGCTGCCTTACAATTCAGTGTCGCACCAAGATGACACAATGGCCCGGCTTTGCCTTCTGTTGGGCGCTTGGCAGTAGATACAGATGAACCTTTGTTCTGGAAAGATTAGAGAACGCTCAGTCGGAAAATCCCGGCAAAACTCTTGCTTCTTTCCACCAAACTTGTCATCTCACAAACTACCCATCGCATCGCCAAGCATGAGTTCAAACGGAAGCAGCAGCGATTCAGTAGCTGCGATAGTAGCTTACTGCCACCGCTTGTTTAAAGTGCTCATCCTCATTGAACCCATCTGCTTACCAAAAATGGGAGTCACGCTTGATCATTTGTTTGCACATTTGCAGGGTCGGCTTCGGCGCTGGGAGTTGGATCTGAAAGTAGGGGGCCAACATGGGTCCAGCGGTCTGGACTCGCAGCTCGAGTCAGCTCCCGAAGATCTTGGACTATCTATTGAATTTCAGCTGAGAGCTTTGAAGCTTCATCTCAGCCGCGTCGAGTCGCTGATGAGTTCATGCCACCAACTCCTTTTGACGTCGGAAATGATCAGCTCCCCCTCTGAAGATGAACTACTGGACAAGAACGTTCTGAGCCTCTTGGACAAGCTCAATTTCAAGCTTGATCAAATCAGTTTCACACTCGACAGGCTGCAGAAATTCGCTGCCAATCTTCTATACCACACAGAGACGGGCCTTGGATTGAAGATTATAGACTATCGGCGACGACACGATGATTCCGCATTCAATCAATCGGTTCGAGATTATGTAAATACTCGTTATCCCTCTATCAGGCCATCTCAATACAGGTCCTCAGAGCTGAAGCAATGTTTGGAGCCTACAGAGACGAGCTGCGAGCCTGATCAGAAAACGGCAAAGGACCAGCTCGCGCATTTACACGAGACTTTGGTCAACATGATTCTTTTCCGACATTACCGAAAACTCTACGAGAGAGAAAACATGGAAGAGCCGCTGATGCCCCTCCCCGAAAAAAAGCCTTCCAGAGGATCACAGGCCATGGTCACGGTAGCCAGACGCGCCAGTGCCCTCGTCGATACCGCACGGCAAAAAGGCAGCCAAATCGCTGCTTTTGCCACATCATTAAACGAAAACGCCTCGGACGGGCGTCAGATAGCCGTCCGCAATTGGGATCTTAGGGAGTCTATTCTCAATCGCAATCTACAGCAGAAACAGGCCAATGTCAACAGGCCTTGTACCAGCGAGGAGAACTTGACATGTCCTGTCTGCGATCAAGTGTATTACTCCGACACCCTTCAAGGTGAGAACTGGAAGTAAGTTCACCACGGTGCTAGGTAAAACCGCCGTCTGCGAGGCGTGTCGCTAATTCTTGACAAGACGCCACTTCATCATCATCGAGGACAGCACGCCCAACGCGCGCGACGACCGCTGCGGCGAAGCATATTCAGCATCTCTCTGCAACGGCAGCGACTGGAAGGAGCGCCTGCGCCAGCGCCACGGCACGGAATGGCTTCCTCTCCGAGTGCCGCTGTTTTGGACCTGCTCGCTGTGCCGTCGCGTCCCGCGCATGGAAAAGGCGTCGAGGGCGCTGATGATGGACGCCTTGATCAGCCACATGCTAGACGCGCGCGAAAAGATTGGCGGGCAAGCCATGCAATCGAGCATCGGCTGGACCACCGTCTTTTTGATGCCGCCGAGCGAAACCTGTCCAATCTGCGAGACGTGTCATTTATTAGACGGCACGACGACGACGACGCCAACGAAAGGTGGTGGTGGTGGTGGTGCCGTAGCCGCCGACGACGACGACGACGCTCAGGCCAAAAAGGCCCTCCAAGAAGCCAGAGATGTTGCCTGGAAAAAGACGGAAGACTGCATCGGCAAGCATGTACTGGAGATGGCGGTTCACTTTGCCCGATATCGTCGCGCTGCTTCAGACCAGGCGGTGGCGGTGGCGGCGGTGGTTCCCGGCACTACTAATAATATGGAGAGGGCTGAAAAGATGACGCTGCTAGCTCGAAAGGGCTTCAGAAAGGCTGCCAAGCGCTTGTCTACAGTTACCCAGGGCATAAGATCGTGATTATGACAAAGCGATGAGGAGAAGAAGTGCAATTGACTCTCTCGCTCGGTTCGCGTTGGGGGTTGAGGACAACTTGGGCAATCTGCAAGTTCCTCCCCAGCCTGTAGAGGACTGACTGGTGGGAAAGAGTGGTGCAAGATTTCATCAAATTGCAAACAAATTTTTGAAAAAAATCAGGTTAATTATTACAGGCACATCGGGTAGGGTAGAGTTTCAATATTGGTCCATTACTTAAATTTTACATTTCATCTGCTGGGCTAAGCAGTTGGTGATATCAGCTGCGTTACTGAATTCTTCAGTATCGCGAAAAAAAAGCAGTCAAACGCCATCCCGGCAACCGCAAGTCGTCGCTCCAGTTGCGTTTGAAGTAGCTTTTCCATCATCCCAAATCCGTGGCAAAACAAAAGATCAAAAAAAGTCCACGCGTCTAAAGTTGTAACCCCGTCTCCTTGTTCTATCTCATTCTAGTCAAACAGGCACGTCCAGTGCAAATTTACAGCTTCTTGACAAGCTCGATCCACTTGGCAGTGGAGAAGGACTTGGGACGCTCAATAGGGGAGCCAACGGCGCGGTCAATGATGAGCTGAGGAAGAACACCAATGGCGCGGGAAACACCAAAGAGGACGGTGTAGTAGTTGGACTCGGTGAGGCCGTAGTGCTGGAGAAGGACGCCAGAGTGGGCATCAACGTTGGGGAAGGGGTTCTTGGTCTTGCCATGCTCAGTCAGGACGCCAGGGGCAATCTTGTAGACCTGGCTGACAAGCTGGAACATGGGGTCGTTGGGCATCTTGGCCTGAGCGAACTCGCGCTGAGCCATGTAGCGAGGGTCAGTCTTGCGGAGGACGGCGTGGCCGTAGCCAGGGACGACACGGCCGGACTTGAGGGTGTCCCAGAGGTACTTGGTGATGTTGGCGTCGGACAAATCGTCGCCAATGACCTTCTTCATCTCGGTAAGCCAGTTCAGGACCTCTTGGTTGGCGAGGCCGTGGAGGGGACCGGCCAGACCGTTGAGACCAGCGGCGAGGGAGAGGAAGGGGGAGCTCAGAGCAGAGCCGACAAGGTGGGTGGTGTGGGCAGAGACATTGCCACCCTCGTGGTCGGTGTGGATGGTCAGGTAGAGACGCATTAGCTCAATGAAGTCGGTGTTGTTGCCAAAGCCGAGCTGGTTGGCAAAGTTGAAGGAATAATCCTTGTCCTTCTGAATGGGGGCCACCTTGCCACCCTTGAAGACATTCTGGTAGATGCGCGAAGCAATGTTAGGGAGCTTGGCGATCAGGTCCATCGAGTCCTCGTAGGTGTAGGTCCAGTACTCCTTCTTGTTAATACCCTTGGCGTAGGCCTTGGCGAAGCTGGAGGTCTGCTCGAGAGCAGTGACAGCGAGAGAGAACTGGGCCATGGGGTGGAGGTCGGTAGGGCAGTGGTCGATGAGCTCCTCGACGAACTTGGGAATGTCGGAACGGGCGGCCCATTCGGCAGAGAGGTCGCGGACCTGCTGCTCGGTGGGGACCTCGCCGGTCAAAAGGAGCCAGAAGAGACCTATGGAAAGCTCGGATTAGTCGCGCGCAAGTAAAATGAATTCGGATCTGCCAATCTCACCCTCAGGAAGAGGCTCTTTGCCGCCGGGGGCCTTGGGAAGAAGCTCCTGGCACTCGGGAATGGTCTTGCCACGGAAACGGATACCCTCCTCGGAGTCGAGGACGGAGCCCTCCCAGACGAGGGCCTTGATACCACGGGCACCGCCATAGACCTGGTCGAGGGTAACCTTGTCAACAACCTTGGAGCCGTGCTCGCTGTGTTGGGAGCATGTCATGTTAGTGATTGATCGAGGCTCGGAGAGGGCGGCTGGAGGGTTACGAACGCGCGAAGGGCCTTGATCTGGTCAATCTTCTCGGGCAACAGCTCGGCGAAGCGCTCCTTGAGAGTCTGGATAAGTGTAAGCTGGCAAGGTACGAATTGGATCGAGGCAAGTATCGCGGAGCACACGGACCTGAGTCTTGGCAGAGTAGCAGCGAACCGAGTTGAAGGCGGCAGAGCGAGCTCCGAAAGCAGGAGCGCGAAGCGAAGCCTTCAAGGCAGAGTTGCTAAGACGGGTAACGGAAGCCATTGTGTACCAGAAATGAATTGGTTAGAATGGAAACTGAATCAGGCGAAGACGGAGAATATGAAGAAAGAAACAGAAGAGTCGGATGGGATGGGTATGAAGGGGGTAAAAAAGCGCAGAGTAAAAAAAGTACAGTAAGAAGGCCCTTGTCTGTGCCGGACGGATTAGTAGATGGAAGACACGGGCCAGCCAGCCCCAGCCACGAGCAAAGCAACGGCGCCAGGCAAGCAGGTGAGCAGGGACCCAAGGAGCTAACTAGGTAGGCCCGGAAAAAAATTACATTGGGGTTACTGGACGGGGATGAGGCTTTTGGTTTTGGTGGGCTGCAAGTTGTAGGCCAGTTGCATTGGAAACACTTTATTCTCTTTTGAAAAAAATTCAGATAAAAGAAAATTAATGGTTCATTTATGGCTACGTTTACCAGAGTCACCAGTGCAGTAGGCAAAAGAACTCGAAAGTTCCTACCTCTGTCGTCATGCTGAGCCGCTGATGGCTGCACCTCTGCTCAGCATTATTGCTGCTTGGGTAATACTTGCAGCGTCCAGCCTCTAAGATTTCATAGACCTGATCCACTGCTCAATGATAAGATAGAGGAATTTCATCATGCCGAGAGTGCGGCTCTGCGAGTTGGGAGCGAAAACGCGGGAATGCCGTTCAACTCAGCGCTTGTTACAGTGAATAATGCGATTACGATGCCCTGCAATTACCTGGGTGCACTAGGTACATCTGCGTGTGCTACGTCACTGGTGATGCAAATTTTTGAGACAGGGTACGCAGGTACTTACTTATCTTTTACAATTTGTTGGAAAATTCTGTGCAGCCAAATCTCCCAACGCAATCACGATTCCGCCCAACACGCTCTCCAAAATTAAATACTTGGCAACAACTCCTTGTATCTCATTACCAGGCAAGCTGGTCCCAAAGTCTACTATGTACGCTCCGTCGCTCACTGTCCTCTTCCTGCTTCAATATTACCGCAACATCAAAGTCCGATCGCTATCCACAATTCCGTAATGCTCACTGTCCTCATCCCCCGGGTTTTTATCGCGGGCCGATTATATCTTTACTTACTGCTCATGTATCTTTACTGCTCACAGAAAGTGAGACGTGACCTTGAAGCATCTCTTATCTCTGTTTATTGGTTTACCCTTGTCCCGCTCCCGCAGCCGCTGGAGTCGCTACCAGTACTACCAGGTGCCGCCACGTGCTACCAAGTGCTACCCATAATATTGCCTAAATTACGAGATGAGCTCGCATCTTTGCACCTCGTCTTCTGCTTAGTTACATGCATCCTCCTAAGGAAAAGGTAGCCTGTGCGTACAAGTCGGGCGATATCCTGCGTTGGCACGAAATCTCCCTCTCCCAAGATACAGTAACGACGAAAAGAAAAACCGTCCGACCTCACGTACAGATTACTTCAACTTGATTACTGTGACCCAATGCCAATAATGAATGGTCATTTTATGTTGGACTTTTATTATTAAATAGACAGACCGCCCTGCAATTTTCTTCTGCGGCCTGCCGGGCTGCTACAGTGCTACCGTGCTGATTACTCACTGTGAAACATGGTTGCATTACATAAGCAGCTCGTGACTCCCAATAAACAAGTGCCGGTCAAGCCTCTTATTTGACCTGCCCTGCCCCCCTTCCCACTGTTTGCTGCAGATTCTTCCTCCTCCATCCTTCTCGCCACAGCACCGTCCGTCGGGCCTCTTCATCGACAACTCTGTTCGTACATCACATTTTCGCGTTTCTCAAGTAGCAGCCGCGCTCTATTGCCAGTCTGCCTCTTCGTATTCACCTGCGGCTCGTGTTAATTCATATTTCCGTCGGTAATTTCCTTTTTGAAGGCGATAATAACCTGCCACGTCAGTGACTGCTTCGCATTTGCCTGAGCACTGCCCTAGTAATAAGGACTCCTGCTCTTCGCATTCACCACCTGCGATATCAGAAATCGTGTTGCAAATCGACCATCACGTACTGCCGGGCCTTACTCTTCTCCTCGTATCGTACTTGAAGACAGACAGACCTCGCCTTTGTCGTGCCAGTATTCGCGCCTCTTTGTAGGACATTCACTGTTTGTTTCTTCGGGCCACAACCTCTAGAACTCTTCGGACGACTCTGGCATCGTTTGCAAGTTGCTCTCGCTTCACCGAGTTGCTTCTTGCTACACTTGCCGCATAAGCGCGCACTGCTGCTCCTCATAATCAGTTCATTTCTTGGAGGAAAGTGACGGACGCCAAATATCATCATGGCTTCAGCAGTAACAGATCTCGAGACTGGCCTTCAGGCTATGCTAAACCTTAAGCCGCCTGGCGTCTCTGGTTCTCGCATCACCAGTTTGACTTCGCTTTGCGTTACCAATATTCAGGTAAGAATCGCCGACAACGCCTCCCGCTGCCCGTCCAATTCTAATCCTTCACCATAACAGTCTGAATCCGTCCTCATTCAAAAAATTTACACCCATTTCAAAAAGACTCCGGGAACCCATAAGCTTGGCGTTCTCTACGTCGTAGACTCAGTAACCCGAAAATGGCTCGAGCAAGCCAAGGCACAAGGCCAACCCATAAACAGTTCTGCCCCCGATGGCACATATGCTGCTGGAGTGCACCGAGTAACCGAGCTGATGCCCGTATTGATGAATGATATTAGTCAATCCGCCCCGGAAGATCAAAAGGTACGCACATCACTTGATAGTCGTCTGATGTCTTGGTTGTTGCATCTGCTACTGCGCCCTGCAACGTGAACCCATCTCAATAAGACACCACTCGTCAATCATGACTGTTTTGCAATAAAGAAACTCACCATTGTTTCGCTGTGTAGGAAAAAATAAAGAAGCTGCTCGATATCTGGGAAAAGGGACAGACTTTCCCTCCATCTATGCTCGCATCCTTCAGACAAGGCCTTAGCTCGCCTGCCCAAGCCAGTATGTCAAATCACCCTCGCGGCGCGCTTTGCTAGTACTTTACGAAGCAACTCGTTTGCTGTCCAGCTTCTAACATATCATTTCTCAACAGAAACCTCAACAACCCCTCCTGGTAGCCCTCCACCGAACGTGATGGCATCGCTGCAAGGTCGACCAGCATCTAGTGCTGCCTCGGCTCCTGCTCCTGCCGCTGCCAACGGCTCGTCCATCCTAGAGGCTCTAGCCAAAATTGCCCGTCAAAACACCACACCTAACGGCGCCGCTGGCTCGGCTGCTCCTAGTAATGGCGCTCTGCCCACTCCAGCTGCATCGTATAGCATGCCGGCTTCTGCCTTGCCGCAGCCCGTGTCCTCGTCACACGCGCCCTCGTCATATCCTGCTGCCTCACAGCCAGTAAATGCGTCCCCTGCGCCCTTTAATCTGGCTCAGATGCTAGGACAAAGTGCACCGGCTCAAGCAATGTCTTTGAATGCCGCTCCCCAGATGCCTAATGCTCCTGCTGCAGCCGTTGGCGGCATGGACCCCAACACTCAGCAACAGATCATGCTCATCAAGCTTCTGGCTGATCAGGGTGTGCCATTTGATAAAATTCCTGCTTTGATCCAGAGTATGACTGGCGGAGGTGTGGCTGCTCAGCCTGCACCCGCTCCCGCTGTCCAAGGGTCCTTTCCTGCCCAGCCGGCTTGGGGAGCGCCCTCCAACGGCCCTTCGCGTGATGAGCCTCGCGATCGCGGATATGGCGACGTTGGCAGATCTCCCCAGGGGTTTCGCGGTGGTCGATCCCGCTCCAGGTCTCCCGATCGATGGGGTCAGCGCGGCTCTCCGCGTGGTGGACGTGACTTTGGCGGCCGCAACAGCCCTGCCCGTGGCCGTCACGATGACAACAGAGATCGCAACGGGCGCAGGGGAGCTGATTTCCGCCAGCGCAGCCCTCCTGGTCGTCGTGGTCGATCTCCGTCACCAGGCAACCTACCGCACGTCGACAGATGGGTCGAGTATGATTCTACCCTTCCTCCCAACTCTATCCGCGTCCTCAGTCGCACGCTTTTCGTTGGAGGTGTGACGTAAGTAATACCATTGACCTTTAAATACACTACGTCTACTAATTCACATCACAGCTGTCCTGAAGCCGAACTGCGTGCTATCTTTGGCCGCTATGGCACCGTGCAGACTTGTATAGTCAACAAGGACAAGAGACACGCCTTTGTTAAGATGCTGACCCGGAAGGATGCTGAGCTTGCCAAGTCTAGTATGGAGGACAACAGACACCTGGACATTCCTCTTCGCGTAAGTCGAAGTACCTATTTCACTCCCATAGACTACTCACTAACTTCCAACAGACACGATGGGGAGTTGGTTTCGGCCCCAGGGATTGCAGCGACTACGCTACTGGAGTCAGCATCATCCCGATCTCCAAACTGACGGAAGCCGATCGCAAGTGGATGCTAACTGCACCGTACGGTGGCAGTGGCGGGCAACCCATTGAACCCGGTCTTTCCGTCGAGGAACCGGATATCGAGATTGGTGCCGGTGTTTCGTCTAAGGCCATCAGCCGACGCATGCAGACCGACAAGGGCGGCCAGAACGGTCCCAAGTCCACGCGCCAGCGCGACGACGATTGGCGCCATGACGACACCGGCGGTCACCAGCGTAGCGGGAACGACCGCGGTTCTGGACCCAACAACCAGGCTCAGGGTGGTCAGATGCCCGGGTTTCCATTCGGAGTTGGCACGTTGCCCAACGGCATGCCTAACTTTCCTCAGGGCTTTCAGTTCCCGCAATAAGTCTTGGTGGCCAAATGCGGTGGCTGCTGAGTGTGGTGACGCCGAGTGGTTGGAGGCCTTGCGATGTAAGGAAGAGAGCGTTTGTTGTATCAGATAAGATACCCCAGGCTAAAATTGGAAACAAGAAGAAAAAGTGTGGGTGAATTTCACGAGGAGGATGGGAATTAACGCAAATCAGCGTGTATTTTAACTCTGGGCATGGACCAGCATGCGGCGTCTGGAAAAAACGGATTTTACGCTCTACTTTGGGATGGTGATAGGAAGCCGCCCTTTTTCACTTTTGCGTCTTCATTCATCTTTTTTTTTTTGGGTATAGGGACTTTTCTGTGATTATTCCTAATTTTGGTTTTAATGTACAAGGTACAATGCATCAATTTTTCATTTTAGAAGTACGATTTTTTGTGCCGTTGGGTATGGCTTTATAGAAAGTTATGTGTAATATAATCGGTGGCGGTACCTGTCATAGAACGAAGTGAGTAGTCAGGCGCGCGATGCTGCCGAGTATTGCATCATCTGCCTTTTCGCCAACACATGGATCAATATGTCATTATGTCTCTTTGCCAAGAGATGGATGGAATGCGCTGGCTTGGTGTAAATGTATGCAGCAGGTGAGACACCCCCGCGGCCGGAAATGAGCCGCGAGATGGACGCGTCGCAATGTGAACTTACCCTAGACCACTTGCACATATGTGCTGCGTGTTTATCTACCCGCCGTCGTGGGCTTTTTGTGCTTAATATTGTGTCGATGATTATCTCGCAATTGTCCATGTTTAAGTCGTGTAAAAGGTGCGTAATTTGCGCGCAGACTGGTAGCAAGTTTTGCGATGCCGCGTAGTGACTGTTGGCGCAAGGGAACACAGTACGCCCTCACGAATTGCACCTTGATACTCTACTTACATCGCAAACCCGGACTCAGTTCGCGACCGGTTAGGCGTGCGAGAAGATCATGTGGCAATGGAAATAAATTAAGCCGCAGCATTCGTCGCCCACGAATGACGCCTCGGTAATGCCAGCAGCCGACCATCCTCCTTTCACTCTTTGGTCTGACTAAGAACGATGCATATGCATATGCAAGACCACGGACAGTGGCAAATCGGCACTCGCGCGCTCCATGTAGCATCCTCCAAGTGTCCATCTGCTAAATAAAGCCTGATTCCTCATCGTGCGAGGGCGGCGAGGGCTAATATAAAATGTAAAAAGCCATGATGTGCTTCACGGCGTCATCACTTCATCTTGCGCCCACCTACTGTCGCTGGTGTGTGCTACGTACAGCGCACATGTGCATTGGTAGTGACGTCAAGCCCATGCAAGCCGTCGAGAGCAAAAAAGACTCCCGGCGCCATCGCGCAAGCCACATTTGATCCTGCTCGCGAATACCGAGAAGCCTGATTGACATTGTCAAAGGTACCTTGAACCGACGAAAGCGACATTGAACTGACATGAAACCTCTCTCACCCTTTGCGAACAAGCAGGGCGAATGTCGCTAGAGGCCGCAGAAGCCGGGCGATTTGGGAGAGGACCAAGTGCGATGCGCGATGCACGCTCTGAGGCAAAAAGCGGCGCATTCCCAGCAAGCTCAGGTTTTATCCAGCTTTCTCATTGGCGCATCAACTTTGTTTCGCTCGCCACTTTTTCTTGCGATGCACGACCCTGTCCCAATCGCCAATTGTTTGATCTCCCTAGCCCTACTGTCCGTGGCAGCATGAGTGCTGGCATGAACGTGGAGAACAGGTTTAAGTAAAAGACGATTTGTCAATGCGACAGGTTTGCATGACTCCTGTTACAGTTGCCAGGGAGTTGTATTAATGGCCGTTGCATGGGCACGTTTCGGCTGAAAGTAGCCGCATGCAAGTTTTCGAGGACAATTGCGATCGGGGTTGTGGTCCAAGCGCATAAACAAAACCGCCATCGTAGTGTATATAGAATGCCCTCGTGCATGTGCTCCCCGTGTTTCGAAACCCTGGGTACTTGGAATGGTGAGCCTGTGCCCTGCAGCATTTGGCGGCCAGTGTCCACAGTTGTTGCTTGACCCTAACTATTGCCATTTCACAAACCGCGCAAACGAAAAGCAAAAGACCCTCTCATAAAATCAACCGGCAAACACCGTGGAAAGAGAGAAGCCCATGGGACGTGTCAAAAAGGGACTCTGCTATGCCTAATTTGCGCTATCGTGGTCCATTCGTGGAGCACAGAGTCCATCGCAAGGGCCGAATAGGAAAGCAAGAAAGAAAAGGCGCTCATTTCCCTGATCGGAAGCGGAAAGGCGGCCGGCAGGCACAAAGCTCCAGTGGGTACTGCAACGTTCCGGCCAAGAAAAAAACAACAATAACATCAAAGTGCCTTGCTTGTCTGCTTTCGTAGCAACAGTAGCTGCTTGGTTCCTGACAGCGTGCATCTCTGATGCCGTATATGATGTATCCTGCGAGGACAACCTGCATTCCGTAAGCGCCAGAACAAGTTGCGGCTCGGAGATGAGCCCGAGACAGTAGCAACAATGGACGAACGAGACCAGACGTGAAAGCCCGCGGCCTTTGTCACAAACGGAAACTCTGTGTCACACAACCCCACGGACAGGCACGCAGCCTTGCCAGACTGGCCGAACCACGAGGCAATGACGTATTTGCCCACTGCTGCTCTTTCGCGATGCAAACCTCTCTGGCTATTCCGAAGATGAGTCGGGCTCGCGCCAATGTCGGTAGCGACGGCATCGTAAAAGCGGACCCCAACTTCTGTCAACGGTCAGAGCCTACTCAGAGGGCAGCCTCATGACTGTAGTCTGTGGGTGACAAAGTCTCCATATTTGGCCAAAGTTGCCCTTGCTTTGCTGACTCTCGTCGCATTCTGACGCGGTTTTGCTTGCGATGGACCGTCCTTTCTTTTCTTTCAGCAGCCAGCTGGTCAATTCAGAGCTCTAATAACGCAGAGCCGCCTAGAGACTTGTCCAGGCAAACAAAAAGGCAAACAAGCGCTATTGCTGTCTTTTCGCTGCAACTAAGTGGTAGCTCGTCTCCAGCTTCAGAAGCTGTATCCGTACGTGAGGCCGTTCCACAATGCCCACATACTTTAATTACAGTACGGAGTATGTGGCGTATTTCGTCGACCTCTTCGAGACCGGGCGTTCAGTCAACAAACGGATAGAGGTCTCGTGTGACTGGTCTCGTGAAAGATGCTGCCCAGTGACCAGTAGACTGAATCGAACTTGATCGGGCACAGCTGGACGTGCTGGGGTCTGTATGATCCTGGCGAATGATAATCGAGGCTCAATTGCAGCTTCCCGTAGAAAAAACTCGGTCCGTGTGGGTTTCACCCTAGTCAGTGCCAGCTCTGTAGCATGTACAGTAGCCAGGGTCGGGAGCGCAAGTACCGACCGGCGGTAAATGTCTTTCAGAAACATCGCAGGCTATTGTTATGATTACACCAAAGTAATACTGTTGGCAAGTGCTCCGTAATATCAACTAATTTGCACCGACCAGGGTTAGGATGGGGGAGCCTGGGGTCAAGGCCCCAGAGGTTGGCTCCAGTTGCTGACGGCGGTGGCCGGGGAGCGCCATGCACGCGATGCATGGCACTGAATAAATGACAGGCTACTCTGTGCTTTGTCGAGAAAAGCCGGACGGTTTACCTGCAGCCTGAATAAGGGTTCGAAGCCGAGGACGGTGTGGATGAGATGCAGGAATAGACAAAGCAAAGGCTGATGAAACCCATTTCTGACTTTGTACGCCGATCTAACACCCTTTATCCCTAGCTGCTGTCAGAATATAAGGTCAGGTCGCATTGGCGGCAGACGGATATCTCACGGTAGCGCCATGGATGTAGTAAGCATTACTGGTCTGAACAACGGGTGGTCCATTGGTTATGGGCGTAGGAGTAAGGAGATGCTGACGCAAGATACGGGAAATAAGTTACGAGATGATTGACTTGGATGATTAGATGGTCAATTGGGGTGCTGCTGTGATGTAGAAGGGACGCGCGTTTGCAGATGTTCTGCCTCTTGAACAGGTGGCAACTGGCAACTGGCAACTGGCAACTGGCAGGTGGCAGCTGGCAAATCTAGACTTTTGATAGACGGTCACAGATTTATTTGGGCGCGTGCTTAATTCCCTCACCAGCGTCAAATAGACACTGAACAGCAAAGCCAAATGCCATTCATGAGTCGAACAAGACCGCAGAGCGCCACCCGAAACTCGTCTTGGATGTAACAGTTTCTCCCCGGAATTATCCAATCTGCGACTCGACACTGAGCGATCGCCGCGGCACCTGATGCCCACCCCCATAACGCACAGGCGGTCTGTAGCCAGTTGCCAGGTCAGAACCAGCGCAGCAACCATGGGGAATTGTTCTCTCGTCGCATCGAGGGTCAATTGCCGCCGGCGATTATGGGGAAAAAAGGGCCAAGGAACGCACAGAAACCCTGGATGCATCGAGAAACTGAGCTTCCCCTAGCCAATGCGAGACCAGTAGGAGCGCAGCCAAGTCTGCGGTGGCCAGAAAATGCCTCGTCCTCGGCCGGGACGACGCCGGGAGAAGCCAAGCCAAGGGTTCTGGAAGCCCTGACCACGGAAGCGGCGTTTTCTTACGTACACGGAGACTGGGCAAGCTGTGATGCGACATCATAAAGACGGTCAACGGCGGTTCTCGGATTGGGCAAGCACGAAGGCTCCAGTGTGGGTGTGGGCGGTGGCACGGTGGATACGAAAATGTGTAAAAGGGCTCCGTAAAATGCGATTCAGTCGCAAAGAAGCCAGCTGGGCAAGAAGGCGCCAAAAAAGAACAAGAGAAGAAAAAAACTCAATGGGGTCCGGAGAACAAGAATTGGGCGAGCGGCGAAATGTCCGATTCCCAACAGCTTCGGGCGGGTCGAGAGATATGAGCAGTGCCTCGAGTCGCCGCCTTCATTCTGGCTAATCTCTAGCACTGGTTCCGTCACCGAGAGCCACCTGAGAGGCGGCGACCCGGTCTGTAGTCGATTGCCAGTTATTGGAGCCGGCCATGGACGGTCG